TCCTCAGCCAGCTTTGCTGGCTGAGGAATTCTGGGAGTTGAAGTCCACAAGTCTTAAAGTTGCCAAGGTTGGACACCCCTGGAGTAGGGGGTGACGTGATAGCAGTCTTCTTCTATTTGAGGGGCTGCCCCAAAGAAGAGAGGGGTCAAACTGTTCTTCAAAGCACCAGAGGGCAGGAGAAGAAGCAATGGAGGGAAACCAAACAAGGAGAGAACCAATCTAGAACCAAGGAGAAACGTCCTAACAGTGAGGACAATTAACCAGTGGAACTGCTTCCCTCCAGAAGTTGTGGTTGCTCCATCCATGACTGGAGGTTTTCAAGAAGAGATTGAACAACCATTTGTCTGAAATGTCTAACTTTGTTATTCTGAAAGCTGCAGAGAGAAACGGTGAAATGTTCACAGAAGATCACAAGGCCTCACAGCAACAGAGCTAGCCTCTACGGTGATTTCTCAAAATTTGAGGGATTCAGGCCCTCTCCCCTGTTCCAGGGATGGCCCCACTCCACACCCAGGGACTACTGGACCGAAGGGTGGGGATCATGAGCTTACACAGAGAGCGGTCCCTCCCTCCCAGAGGTCACCTCACTGCTGGGCTGGTTGGAGGAGAAACGAAAGGAATCGGAAGAGGTTTGGTCAACTAGAAGGTGCCACGGAGCTCCTCTCCTCTTCATTCATCGCCAGAGCTCCTCATTCTTTTTTGTACTTGTATCTTTTAGCATGGGGGGCCGGGGGGTGGGGGGGAAGCTTCTTGGTCGCTGTGCTTTGAGTAGCTCACCTCTTCCCAAACGGTTCTCCTCGGGTCGCTCCGTTTCCAGGCCTTTGAATGCAGAAAGCCTCAAGTGACGTGGTGTCTCCGCATATGGAAACAATTAATAATGCGACTCTGTACAGACACAGCCTCACAAATGGTTCTCATTCTCGTTTTCTTTTCTGAAGGCAGTTTGCTTACCCTTCTTAATGGGAAGTGCCAAATCCCACGGAAAACTTTAGATCAACTCAAGCAGTCTTGCATTCCCTTCTGAAAGTTCCTTTAGGTTTGTATTTCTGGACCGAACATGTGAGCACAGATGATATTTGGACACAGGCCTGTGTACAACTGTTTAGAATTTTGCTAATACAATAAGTAGAACCACTACACACACTCTCTCTTTCTCTCCCTCTCTCTGTTTCTCTCTTTCCATCTCTCTCTCTCTATCCCTCCCTCCCTCTTTATTTCTTTCTCTCTCTCCCTCCCTCCCTTTCTCTTTCTCTCTCCCTCCCTCTCTCTTTCTCCCTTTCTCTCTCTCTCTCCATCTCTCTCCCTCCCTCCCTCCCTCTTTCTTTCTCTCTCCCTCCCTCTTTCTTTCTCTCTCCCTCCCTCCTTCTCTATCTCTC